CCTTCCAAAGGTGCCACACTAAACCCAGGGACCTATAAATTTACTGGGTTGAGAAAAAATGGGGTCAACATTACTTGCAATGCCCAGGGTATCCAAAGTGAATCGCAGACCTCCAGCTTGCAAGGTGCCGCTGCGCCATGCCACGCCTGGCGGCCCAATTCCAGGTGATGCCTTGTCTTGTGGACTTTTGAGGCTCTGGGAATGGAATTGGGGCCGTACGATGGATTAGGACCAAGTAGGGCCAAACTATGGATGTCAGGGTTCTGGATGTTGACTCCGGATAGTGTGGATGTTTGTTGGGTGATTTGGAGAAGGAAATTGGACGCCTGTGCAATGATGAGATGAAGATGGGCTGAATATCCACAGGCTGCAGAGGGGCTGCGAGGCAGGCACCTGACTCCAGCAAGATGGGTCCGCAGAGCAGGATGTGCGGAGTGTGAAGAGAGCGGCAAGTCAGCCACGTCACCCTACATTGAAAGCTCGTTTTGGGGAGACATCTGCTTGTAGGTTGTTGGCAGATGTTGGCATCGTCTCGTTCCAGACTTAAGACAAGCGAGGGAACCTTGTCTTCAACGCGAGTTCACCTGGAAAGCTAGGTGGTTTTCGGTCTCCAGACACCCAGTGCCTGCTTTCCTGGTTTCCAAAAAAGAGTGCCCCTTTTTCCATGCCCACTCTGGGTTTGAATCGCCCAGCAGTCTTTGGACCGGTTCTGATCAATGCTTCCAAGGCAGAAGTCCTCTTGCCGTGTTTGCCGGAGCCTCAGGGGCCAAAAATACCAAGAAGCGTCTGGGCTTTTTCTTTCGGTACCAACCTCGTTTAAGGTTTTCATTGGAGTGGGGGGTTTGGGGTACTTTAAAACCACATTCAATCAGGCAGGCGGCTGGTTTAAGACACGTTGCGGGCTTCGAGACCGCAGTTCCACTTCGAAAACGCGACATGTCACCCCTTTTTTTTTGGCCAGGGTGGGAACGGCTTCGTGTTAAAGGGCCTCGTCCTTGAATGCCTTCCAGGGCCAACCCACCCATCCGGAAGCTGACATTCAGTGCCTGTCAGGGTTGCCCAGAGCCCGCGCTGGATTGCAAATGAGCCTTGGGTCTAAGTCGAGACCAACACATGGGCGTGTGTTGGAATTGAGGATCAGAGGCCTTTGATTGAAACGTTCCCTTCACCCCAACATGCGAGAGAAGACACTAACTTCAACTTCCTGCTTTTTGGCCTTCCCAAGAGGAATTCCTGGAACGGGGGTGGCAGAATAAAGACGACTCTTGCCAGGGTTTTGGGCGACTTGAAGGGCATCCCAAATGGTTTTTGCTACTTCTTTTTTCAGCTTTTGACCGGAATCTCAAAGGACCACCGCAAAAAACGACCGCACAAAATCCGACGCCCTGTGGTCTCCTGCCCAATGAGTCGACTCAGTTGAGGCCCTAGCGGGCGGCGCTTGCTTCCTGCTGCCCCAGGCGAGGTTAGCCGTGTTAGCTCCACCCCAAGGGCTTCAAGCAAAGAAACGACTCCACAGAGAAATACCCCCAAGCATTTTTTTTCAGCCGGGGTTGCGGTTGAATCAAAGGCCCCGATTTTTTCTTCTTCTCCCAGGTTTGGTGGGCTTTTCTTCTGGGTCGCTTGCTGGTGCGATAGGGGAATGAGAAATGGGATGGACCCCAAAGTCCATCCCCGATTTGGTTTCCTTATTTCGGGACTCAGGTTCCTTCCCTCGGGCAGCAGCAAGAAAGAAACACCAAGGGTCGATGGTCCAAACCCAGGAACCTAAGGAATCACCCCACACACACACAAATACACAAATACACAAGTGGGTGTTGTGTGCAGTGGGAGCTATGGGATCTTTGGGTTTGGAGGTCGGCGCTGGTGGCTACAGGTGCCTTGAAACCACTGGTTCAAAAAGCCTCAAAACGACACACCCACAGAGAAATACCCCCAAGCAATTTTTTGTGCCGGGGTTACGGTTGACACACAGGGTCTATTTTGCTTGCAACCACCTTCTTTGGGTACTGGTGCTCGATAGCCAATCGGTCCATGGTGTCTTTTTTTGACGGTACACCCGCTTTGTCGGTTTTTGAGGGAAACCCAAAGGAACACCATTTTGTGGGGTCCCCAAAAACGACGCACACACACACACATTCACGCAACTTTCCTGAGCTCTTTGAGCTGCTTGTATGGAGGGGCTAGTACCTACAAATTTGGATGCGAGTCATTAGGTTCCAACGGAGGGGACTTTGGGTGTCTAAAGTGAGTGGAGCCAGCCTAGGGTTTGGAACATGTTACGGAAGCCACTGCTCTGAAAAACGTGGTTTCTTTCAAGTTTATGGGTGTGGCCTTTTTGCAGCTTGGTACCTTTGCAGCGGGGTTGTTTTTGAAGGGAAAACAGGAAGCCGCCTTCTTTCCAAAACCCCACACATCAGTAGCAAGCTGCGCAGTTTGTGTGGCATTCTTTGGACACATCCACAAAATGAGCAGTTTCCCCAAGATGGCCGCTCACCTCTTGGTAAACGCTTGCCCTTTCCAGCAAGGGATGTTTTCGACTTGATATTTATATTTGTACATCTTTATAACCAGGTC